GTACGTAATGTACAATATTATATCTATATCTCTATTTATCTAGAGCTTGGTTTAAATGTTAATCAAGATTCTTGTGTTAATTTTGTTAACCAAGTTCAGCCAATGAAAATCCATCTTTTATCTAAGTTCGTATTCATCTCATAATTTAATGACAATGGTAAATATGTTATTTTAGTTTGTATGTAACTCCCATATCATTAATTGGGAGTTACAAAATAAAAAAAATTCTCATAATTGTTGTTGATTTACTATTTATCTTGTTTTTCTTTAATATTGATTTATTTATCTATAATGTTCTTGAATTTGTGATTGTTAAAGGGGACCCGATTGTAAAGTTTTCGATATCGTTCAAGCCAATATGGATAAACTCATTGGAAAACAACTCGACAATAATGAGAAGGTTAAAATGGTTTACGATAACAATCGGACTTTGAGTTCCATAAGTGAAAACAATAATCAAAGTTTTTCTATTTGTAATGGATTAATATGTTATTGTATTCATTTTAATCGAAATTATGTTGATTATGACGTTTTTGTGTTTTTTATTATTGTTCACAAATGTTCATATTGTGTTTATATGTATAGTAGTTGCATATCTCAACATTGGCTCGTTCTTGAATGTGTTCATAATGAATGAACTATTGTTCACAAGTTGTTCATATTGTGTAATTTCATTGTATTTTATATAGAAATGAGTAAATATATATATATATATATATATATATATATATATATGAGTAATTTCATTGTGTTTTTTATAGTTTATATTGTGTTGGTAGCTTTTCCTTTAATTATTACTACGAAAAAAAAAATGATATTGTGTTTTTTTATTATTGTTCACATGTTATCATATTGTGTTCATATGTACACTAGTTGCATATCTCAACATTGGCTCGTTCCTGAATGTGTTCATAATGAAAGAACTATTGTTCACAAGTTGTTCATATTGTGTCAATACCTATTTTTTTCATTTTTTTTCATATAGCAGTTATTTTTATTATGTTCATAAATGTTATGCAGTCCAAGTTCATATATATGTCAATTTTTGTTCGTATTTGACACAATGGTTCATATGTGTGTGTGTGTTCATATGGTTCTCACATTAACAAAAATAATGAGACTTTTTGATTTTGTAAATCCCAATTAATGATATGGGAGTTACATAAAAAGAAAATTACCTAAATACTCTTTTCCCCTTTGTTCACATATGTTCTTTGAAATTGTAAATTTAAAAAAGTAAATTTTTATCATGATTAATCACAACCGTTCATTGTAAGAATCAATGGCCAAGATTGATTAACAAAGTTAACACAATAATCTTGGTTAACATTTGAACCAACCCCTATCTATCTATATGTATATATAGATATAAGTTATTTTGAGAAGTGATAAATATTTGAGAATTAAAGAAGTGATCTTAGCCCTTCATACGGTCAAGATCCGATATGAACTGTAAAAAATTGTGGCTTTGACTAGTCAAAATTTGCGGTTATGCGAAATATAGAAGGGGTAGTTTCCTAACTTCTACAAAAGAGGAAAATTAGTTCATATGTGAACATGTGAACCCGTGTAATTCATATATGAACTATTTTAATTGATTCACATATGAACTATTTTAACTGATTCACATATGAATCCGTGTGATTCACATATGAACTAATTAACTGAACATATCAACCCATGTGATTCACATATGAACTAATTAACTGATTCACATATAAACATATAGTTCAAATGTAAATCACATTGGTTCACATATGGACCAGTTTGCCACCTATTTGTAAAAGTTAGAAAACTATCCCTCTATCTTCTGCATACCAATGTGAGGAATTATTCTATATTCACAGTTAAAACCGCAAATGTTGACCAGAAAAAGAGTTAGAATTACTTCTTTACTTCTAAAAACTTGCCACTTTTAAATTAATATTTCCCAATATATGTAATAATATATATAAATCAAAACTAAATTGCATATATTAATGTGATCGCACGGACCACCATGCAGAGCCTCTGCATAGTACATGTAAAGCCTCTGGATTGTCTATATAGGGCTCTTCATGAAGGCATTTTTGGTCTGTCTTTGTTGCTCTGGTCCACCTATAATCCCCCCCCCCCTCTGGTCTTCTTTGATACACGAATCAACATCGAAGGTTTCTGTCCAACAACATTGCACTTGCCTCTACGATGCTTCTGGTCATGAAATATTTGGATTTTGAGAAAACTCAAGATATGAACATTGTAGATTAGTGTGTTAGCTGTCCATAGAGACCGGATTCAACTTCTCTGGAGCTTGGACGCATGAGATATGATCGATTTAGAACAGACGCGCAGATCTGTCGAGCAACTTCTGGTTCAACGTGTTAGCTTTTGGCTGAGGACGTATAATGATTTGATATAGAGGTTCTGGTCCTTTGATACAAAGCTCTGGTCCTTCGATATAGAGAAACTCTTGTTCTTTGGTTTCGAAGCAGATCTGGCTCGATGCACAACAACTTTGCTTCAGCACACTACATTCAACTTCAATAATACTTCAAGGACCATTCATATTTGTAAGATAAGTTTCCTGACACGATTTAATTTTTTTAAATTACCCCATGTAACACACGAGTTCGAACCTAGTGTGTGTGTGTATATATATATATATATATATATATAGAGAGAGAGAGAGAGAGAGAGAGAGAGAGAATCTGGTTCAAATGTTAACCAAGTTTATTATGTAAACTTTGTTAACCATTTTCAGCCAATGACAATCCATCTTATATATAGGTTCATATTCATCTAATAATTTAATGACAAGGGTAAATATTTTTTTTCTTTTTTTATGTAACTCCAATATCATTAATTGAGAGTTACAAAATAATATAATCCCATGATTTTTGTTAATTTATTATTGATCTTGTTTTTTTATAATATTGATTTTTCTATCTATAATGTTTTTGAATTTGTGATTGGTAGAGGAGACTCAATAGTAAAGTTTTCGGTATTGTTCAAGCGACATTGTTTATAATGAAGAAAATGTTGTTTACAAGTGTTCATATTGTGTTCATATGTACAGTAGCTGCATATCTCAATACTGGCTCACTCCTGAATGTGTTCATAATGAAGGAACTATTGTTCACAAGTTATTCATATTGTGTTCATAAATACACTAGCTGCATATCTCAACATTGTTTCGCTCCTGAATGTGTTCATAATAAATGAATTATTGTTCACAAGTGTTCATATGTACACTAGCTGCATATCTCAACATTGGTTCGCTCCTAAACGTGTTCAAAATGAAGGAACTATTGTTCACAAGTTGTTCATATTGTGTTCATACATGTTTTTTATTTATTTACATTCTTGTAGCAGCTATTCTTATTTATATTCATAAATGCTATGCAGTCCATAGGCATGGCAATTGGGCGGGGATGGGGCAGGTTTTGTAATCCCCGGCACCAGCCCCGGTTTGTAGTAACATCCCCCGGCCCGGTCCCCGGCGAGTACGGGGATTATCATCCCATCCTCAATCAAACCTCTAGCAATCCCCGGTCAAAACCCGGTAAAACCCTGGTCAAACCCCATAAATAATATCATTTAGTTTGATTTTACTGGGGATCCCCATCCCCGGTTTAATTAACATCCCCCTTCCCTCACCCCGTCCCCAATTTGAGTTTACCGGGGATCCTCGCTCCAGGACCCATTTTAGTGGGTAATCCCCGTCCCCGTTCGGGTCGGGTGAACCGGGTTCCCCACCGGGTCGGGGCAAATTATCATCCCTAGCAGTCCAAGTTTATATATATGTCAATTTTTTGTTCGTATTTGACACAATAATTCATATATATATATATATATATATATGTGTGTGTGTGTTCATATATTTCTTACATTAACAAAAATTATGAGATTTTTTGATTTCGTAACTCCTAATTAATGATATGAGAGTTACATAATTTTTTTTTTACATAAAGACCCATTTTTACTTAGTTCACATATGTTTGTGAAATTGTAAATTTAAAAATATAAAATTTTAATATGATAAATCACAACCGTTTATTGTAAGAATCAATAGCCAAGATTGGTTAACAAAGTTAACACAATAAACTTTGTTAACATTTGAACCAACCCATATATATATATATATATATATATATATA